GATCAATCGATATAACCTATGAGTTATGATCAAATGATGGAAATAATATGGATTAGTGGGTGAAATTTGTTCTGATATTGTTCGTACTAAAAAACTTATGAGTTGTGATCAAATGATAGAAGTAATGTGGATCAGTGGACGAAATTTGTTCTGAAATTACTAGTACTGAGAAGCTTGCAAGTTATGATCAAATGATGAAAATAATATGGATGAATTGATAAAATTTGTTCTAAAATTGTTAGTGCCAAGATGCTAAAAAGTAAATGCGAGATGGGGGAGTTTTAAAAAACATATTACCATAATTAACTAGAATTTTATGACATTAATGTTAGTGACAACTGTATTACAAGCATTGCACTTGCATTGTTGTCTAAATAATACATGTATATAATTTGTTGAATATTTGAATCTTGGTTGGCCATGCATTTGCCTTATATAGTAAACATTTGAATCATGGTTAGAATATGACATCTGCATTATTATGAGAATCTAGATTATTACATTTGCATCATTTAGAAAACATTTGCATCATTATTATGACATTCTTTATATACAAAATTTTGATTTTGATGAAAGATTGAGAATTTTCAAGATAAAAAATTTTGAACATTTTGAGGAAAGCTTTTTAAGATAAGGTTGGGAATCCTCAAATGGAAAAATGTTTTATGAAGAAAACATTTAGAGTTCTAAAGTTGTAGAGCCTTTTAAAGAAGCTTTTTTAATTTTAAAAATTTTGAAAATCTTTAAGGAGTTTTAAATGAGAATCTTCAATAAGTTTTAAATGAGAATCTTTAAGAAGTTTTAAATGAAAATCGTTAAAGAGTTTTAAATGAGAATTTTTAAGAAATTTTAAATGAGAATTTTAAGAAGTTTTAAATGAGAATCTTTAAGAAATTTTAAATGAGAATCTTTAAAAAGTTTTAAATGAGAATCTTTGAATGAGAATCTTTGTTTTTGAGTGTTAAATAAGAATCTTGAGAATTTGTGTGAATCTCTAAAGTTTTTTAATGTAAATATTTGAAGCATCGAATGTGAATCTTTGAACTTGAATAAGAAGTTTTAAACTTTTAGATGTGAACCCTAAATTTTTTGAATGAGAACCTTTGAATTTAGATGTAAAACTCTACGATATATTAAATGTGAATCTTTGAACTTGAATGAGAAGCTTTGAACTCTTGGATGTGAACCCCAAATTTTTTGAAAGAGAACCTTTGAATTTAGATGTAAAACTCTAAAATCTATCGAATATGAATCTTTAAACTTGAATGAAAAGCTTTAAAACTTTGGATGAAATCCTAAAGTTTTTAAATGAGAAATATCGATGGGAAACACTAAAATTTTTGAATCAAAATCTTTGAAATCTTAGAAGTGAATCCTTAAAGTTAAAAAAAAAAAAAAACTTTAACTTTTAGGCGTGAATCTCCAGAATTTTCGAATGTGACTATGAGCCTTACAATTTTCATGCGAATCCCTAAATTAAAATTTTGGATATGAATCTCACAAATACGAATTTTAAAATCTTGCAAATCTGAGTTTTTGTACATCTTTGTTCTTACCAATTTTTGAATTATGAACCTTTGAATTTTAAAATTGTGATTCATTGAACTTAAATTGTGAGTCTTTGAGTTTCAATTACAAATGCCAGATTATAAAATTTTTGAATACTTCAAATTGTGAATCTTTGAAATTTTAAGATTTTGTAATTGTTGTGAAGTCACACCCAAACGTAATAGGTGTTTATGTCTTTGCACAATTCTTGTTTTACAGAAAATGCTCAAAGAAGGACAACTGTAGACACTCCAATCTGTCTGAGATTTTAATTATTTTTGTTTATAAAAATAAAAATAAAAAATAAAAAATTAGGAAAAGCTTTAAGGTAGTTGGATTTGTTTAGGATTATTCCTCTAAAGTTATCAAATTTTGGATATATTCATAATTGAAGTTTGAATTTAAAGGAAATTGAAAGTCCTTTCAGGTATATGGTTATTTATATCAGAACCCTATAAATACACACATAGAGATTAGAGAAAAGACAGAGAAAAATTAGAGAAAAAATACACGCAAAGAAAGCCATGGAATGTGAGGCTTTTTGGAGATTTTTTGGTTTGAAAAAAAGATTTTTTTTCTAAAACTTTTTTTTGGAAATTTCTAGATTCTAGTGACATTTGAATTTTTCGATGAATTTTCTAGAATTCGATTAAAGATTTCGGTGAAGGTTGAATTTTTTGGTGAACTTTCAACTACTTAACCCAGATTTCGATGAGTTTTTTAAAATCCAATAAAGATTCAACTGATGTTTTTTAGATTCTAAAGAGAGAGGAAGAGAAAAGAGAAAAAAGGGAGAGAGAGAGAAAAAAATTTAAGGGAAAAGATAAGAATTTGGTTTTTTATACTGCTGTTAAATGACGTCGTTTTGAGCATTTAAGAAATTCAAAATCCAAGTGTTTTTAACAGGTGACTTGACCCGTAGTGTTTGACTTGCTTTTGACCTATGTTTTGTACTTGGCCCAATCGAGCCGCGAGCCACGAGCCACACCATTCCAGCTACTTCCCTTACCTCCAATTGAGTTGAGTTATCCAGCCAAGCTGAGCCATTTTTTTTTTTTAAATTATATTTATATATTTATTTAAAATATTTTTGCATGATTAAAATTTTAAAAAAATTTAAAAAATTTAAAAATATAAAACAAAATAATTTTTTAAAGATAAATACTAATTATCCAATCATGAAATTTTGAGAAATTTCAAATTATAAATTTTTATAAAATTCTTATGTGAGAAATTTTTTTTTTAAATTTATCCCAAATGGTGAAATGATTTAGATAAAGTTTCAATGATAATAATTAATATTTATTTCCAATTTAAAAAAATAAAAAAATAAAAAATTTTAATAAAAATTTTAGAATTAAATACTAATTACCCAATTATGATATTCTTAAAAATTTCAAATGGTAAATTTTCTAAGAAATCTTTAGGTGTGAAATTTATCTAAATATGTCCCAAATTGTGAAATAATTTTTTTTTGAAATATTTGACAATTATCTAAAGATGAGAATCTTAGAAATTTCAAATAGTAAATTCTCTAAAAAGTCTTTAAGTAAGAAATTCTTTTAAATTTGTCTCAAATGATGGAAGAATCTAAATAAAACTTCAAAAAATAGTTGTCATATTATTTTCTTTTCAAAGATAAAAAAAATTTTTTTAAATAGACCCAAATGGTAGAAAATTTAGAAATTAAAAAAATTTTTAAATTGACCCAAATGGTGAAAAATTTAAAAATAAAAAAATAAAAAATCTTAATTATGAAATTCTTAATAATCGCAAATGATTAATTATCTAAAACATTTTTTGTTGAGAAGATATTTCTAATTTGGCTCAAATAGTGAAATAATTAGATATATTTTTAATAATAAAAAAATAAAAATGATTAATTTTTTTTCGTCAACGTAACCTCTGCAAGAAAATAAGTAAAATTCTTGAATGCTCTTGAGGTTTATCAAATTGATGAAGAATTTTAAAAGTTATTTCCAGTATTCAATGTTAAATTTAATATCATCAGACTTAAGATCTTAGGATAATTTAAAATTAAATTATACTATCTTAGGATGAGTGTTGTGAGTATGTTATAACTTTCTCCACACGTAATCGAACTCCTGAATTTAGTTCTGTTTAAAAGGTCATAACCTATTCTTTATGAACCCTTAATCAAGCTTAAGAGCTCTTTAAAAAGATAAATTTATTAGGTGATTAATCACACCTAGTTAAAAAAGATTGGTGATGACTTTTCTTATTAAATTTAACTATAAATTTACGGATCTATACATTATAACACTTATATTTGACTGCAGTTAATTTCAAGTTAATTTTGGCGCTTCACAAAGTGATCCCCGAGCCTTAAAATTTGTTGACAAATGGTACCCATATGTACAGGAGAAAGAAAAATAGGAAATGCACATGATCAACAACATTTACTCCTTGAACATTTGTTTTTGAATTGCTTGTTTGGATCTTTCTTTCTTTCTTTCTCTCACTTCTGTTAACTGGAATGCCTCCAATGGTTTGCATGTTCAAAGCGAATCCCATGTCATTTCAACCCACAAACTTGTAAAAAAACGAATCCTGACATACATACAATCAGTCAAGGCAACGACTACGGAAAATAGAAAATTAGGCAGGGTTCCCAATCATCAATCAGATGCATGATTCGGGTGTTATAATTCTATCCAGACAAACCCTCAGTACTATAGGCTTCATTTTTACTTTGAAGATTATGAATGAAAAATGTTTTTCAAATAAATTGACAGTTACCTAAATATCGGTACAAATGACAAAACAAATTTCAAGTGTGTAGGACCAGCTGAGAGACAATGGAATGCAAAAGCAATTCAGCATCAACTGCGGATGATTTTCTTTAAACCACTCAAGAGAAACATGGAAAATAACATGTGAACAGTTCTTTGAGGTCATGATCACTTCCTGTTGCGTGACGTTGTCTACAAACTGTCTAAAGAATCTCAAACGCCTCCTCGTTTTATATGTGCTAAAAATTGTTTCCTTAAGTTCACTGCTGGATCATACAACGAAAAAAGATGGTCTATTGTTTCACAAAGTTATTCGAAACAAGAAAGGCATCATTTCTGAAGAAATTTATCAAACAGGTTACCAAACAGGTCACTTGCGTAGTATCAAACTTGGATTCCGCAAGTGGTGGAGAAAATAGCATTGAGTTTTTAAGTTTTGCCTTCATTCAATTTGGCGCTTATTATTCATGTTACTGGAGTTATCAAGTTTCCTAATTTAAACTCATCATTTTTATAATCTAGATAGTCTTTTCCGGTCTAGTACTTTGAACAAGTTCTGGACCCAATTGGAACTCGCGGTTGAGAATGAATCAGATCAATAGATATGAATAGAATAATTGAAATTTTTTCACGGCTGAAAATATCTTTGATTGCATCCACCCTCAAAAAATATCGATCGAAAACTGAGGCTTTACTTAATAGAGAAGATGGAAAGAGTTAAAATATAAAACTTATTAATCTAACGATTAAGCAACGAGTTAATTACAACCATTGAAGTGTTGTAATGGAAAGTAACTAAAGAAGTGACGATAGGTAAATATGATGTATACTTTCATAGAAGTATATGTCATATTTCAGAAATGAGTTTTCATGGGTACACTTTCATAGAGGAGGGACTTCATGTACTCTTCCAAGCTAGGAAGGCAGTGGTTTTCATCGTAACTGTACATCAATGGAACCGTCCTTGCAATATTTAGAGAAGCCTTGGAGAAAGACAAAGAAAACTGATTTGGGGAAAGGCATTCACGGTTAAGGCCCTTCCAAGCGTTCGAAATCATATGGATAACATGCTGCCTAACACTTTCAACCGCAATGCCTTGGTGTTCTTTCATGTAGTAATTAACATAGGACCCATCGTGACCATCTTGGTTCTCATCCTACAATTAATAATAAATGTAAGTCAATTGAATCAGAGGACTCGACACTTGGACGTGAAAATATTTGAAGTAAAATAAAGAATTAGTTTACCTTGGCACTTCCCAAGTCATCCCAGAGGCGAAGGATTGCTCCAGTGGATTTGATGATGCCAGGATTGTTGTCAATTAGTTCCACATTTTGATTAGTTAAGCCATGGCCAAGGAGAAAGAAAGTGTGAACCAGCATTATATTGACTCCTGAACTAATTATCCCATTCTCCAAGTACTCTTCGGCCATTGGCAGCTTCCCTGAACCAAACCATTGCGCTTCTACCAAAAAGGCTCTGCACAAAGTGGTCCACTGCAATAATAACCCACCACTGTATTATAACTAAAGCTCAGAAAAACTGAAAAACAAAACTAAACCACTGTAAGTGAAAGATAATTTCACCCGCCCTTAAGGTTTTGATTTATTAACAAAATAGGGTTTTCAAATTTCAATATGTATGAGTTACATGCACACTTACGTTTCGATTAAAATTTCAAACAATCGATGCGTGCGTTGAAAGAAAGAATTTAACTAGGATACTTATGTTTGGCCAAAAAAAGGGATAATTCCATGAACATTTAACATGAGTGAGATCGAGGGGAGTACAATTAAACCTAATAGTACTACAATCCTACAATATATTTTTGATGAACAGGATTCTCTCTGTTGTCAGTTTTTTATACGCTCCTCCAACCTGCTTTTTTTCTTGAGGAACAACAAAGAGACGTTACCTGCTCGCTTGTCTCAAAACTTTAATTATTGTTTGTATGGTTCCCAATTAACGACCCTTTTTTTTTTCCCTCAAAGCTTAACTTTAATAGGGTCAACGTTTTATTTTGGACAAACTTTTACGACAAGATAGATTTGATGAATGTAACCATAGCTAAGTAATTTGTTAATAATTTATTAGATTAGGAATTAAATTTTGATAATTTTAAATATAAAATATAAAATATAAATATTTAAAGAATTAAAAATATTATTATAGATATAGACTAGTTTAGATAGCCTTTTTATAGCCCTTTTTTTAGTTGTTAGTAGTTATACTCCAGTTATATATGAATAGATAAATACGCTATCAGATGGGTGTTGCCCGTTGAAGTATTTGTTAAAAGAGTTGATCAGTTTACATACCGCCTTCCTTAAGGAGTTGGCAGGGTTCCACCCATGCTCCTTGTACACCTTGCGGCTGATTTCATCAGTGATATCAAGAAGAGCTTTGAAGCACAATTTCATGTAATCTGGTAGTCGATCAGTATCAGAGTAATCCCAACTATAAATGCAAATTAATGAAAGAATTTGTTAACAAATTATAATTTGGAATAGAGTTAAAAGATGATACTGAAAGACTTGATGCATATATATATATATATATATGCATAAATATATATATATATATATATATATAGATACCTATCGACAGCTTGGGTGAAGAGGGTGAGTTCATCAAGTGTCCCATAAACATCAAAAATGTCGTCAATCATATAGATTAAGGAAATGGGTTTTGTGAGATCAATCCGTTGCTCTGACAAGCTTGGATCAGGGAGGCAAGCCAGGGACCAAAGATACCATTTCGCTGGTTGGTCTCTGGCAAACTCCAACTCCTTAGCTAAACCCAGCTCCTTCCACCAACTGAACATTCGTCAAACATACAAGAAAATTAGAGTTGGCGATTTTTGGGACAATAGATAAAGCTTTTAGTTGTGTTCATATATACTAATATAAATCTTACTGGGAAATCCGAACTATTTCTTCCTGATGCAAGGACTGGACCATATTGAAATCCATTTTTGCTAGTTCTTGGAGGATATTTATCCATCCATTTGTGCCTTGGAAATTAGTAAGCAAGTTTCTGGCTGTGAATCTTGATAGGCTTTTATGATAAGGTTGGTCCAGTGTATTCGTTATAACTCTACCAGAAAAACGGTCCACTTCTGAAGTTCGCCATTTTTTTAGGATGTGGGAACTAAATTCTCTGGCTTCATCAAGAATATCTTCTCCATCTTTTCCCAGTTGTGAAGCTTCATACAATTCAATCAATCCTTTGATGTCCCTGCCTAGTTCATCTCTGAATCTGCCCTCCCTGTCTTTGAACCTGTTAAACACTCCTGCTTAATATGAAAACCATTTCCATAGGTTAATTAAAAGAACAAAAAAATACCGTCTACAAAAAGGTTTGAATTTGCACTTCTCACCCACCTGCTGGGACAAAGTGACCTTCTTGTCTAAGTAATCGAAATCGAAGGGCTACCTCATGAAGATCATAATCATGAACACCATTAGTGCAAGACAGCATATGGTGCTGCTTTTGCAGAACTTTTTCAATGTCATGTTGAAAATGGTGGTCGATGCCTAGGCGCTGGATTGCATCAATCATGGCCAAACCATCAAATGGATCTTCACAAACTTCTCTAAATATACGCTTGAATGCCTCCAATTTATTTGCATGTTCAATGCGAAATTTATCCTGCAAGATAATGAGAGATTTGGCTTTTAAAAAAGGGAGACAAAATAAGCTTGCGAGTCAAAAAGAAATAAAGGGATGAAACTGGGAAAGATCTTATATAAAAACAAACTCACTCTAATGGTGGGGTGTGCATTTCGATTATCAAAGTGTTGATGAGCAACGCTACATCTGGGAATCATAGGCAACGAAGTAGAAGCAATAAGGTTAGATTTGTCAATAATTCGTGAAGTTTTGTTAGTAGCAATTGGAGCATTCGGGGTTGAGAACAAAACGTTGGAAAACAACGCCATGGAGACTACTTCCTTGGATTCTCTATGTTGAGATATAACGTTACGAGGTAGGAGGCAAATATATAAATTCTCTAAACAAACTCACCGTATGTGACTTTTGGCCATCGATGTGATTGATAGCCGCCAAGACGAGTTGCTATATTTTTAATGTTTCCAAAATGTAAGTTTTAATTTAAAAAAAAAAAAAAAACGTGGATTTGAAAAAATATCATGGCAAAACAAAATTGGATACGCAACTGCGTTTTGTGAAACCATATATTCAAGAGCACTCAGACACTGCAAAATAATTGAATCCAGTTAGGAGTGCTCAAATTTTGATTTTAATTGAATTAATCAATTAAATTGATTTAATTTGATTAATTTATTAATTATTAAATTAATTTTAATTCATTAATAAAAATAATTTTAAAAAATTTTAATTTAATTAATTCAATTAAAAATTTGAAAAAACTGAAATTTTAATTGAAATATAATCAAATCTAAATATAAAACAAAAAAAATATAACATGGAGCATATTATTTTATAAGTTAATAGAATTTTTAATATAATATTTTGATATTTGAATATTTTATTAGATTGTTTTATTTAATTTATTTAAAATATGAAAATTTTAAAATTTAAAATATAATCTAATTTAAATAAATGTATTATTTAATTAATCAAAAAAATTAATCAAATTAATTGAATTAAATTTTATCGATTAATTTTAAAAATTAATAAATTTTATTGAATTAAAAAAAATAAAATAAAATAATTTAATTTAAAATTAATAAAATCGTTCAAATAAATATCTCTAAATCTAAACATCAAATCTTAAATCATGAATCAATTTAGTTGAATGAACACAATCATATATACAAACAATGGGTGGATCAGTACGATTGGAAGTTTTTTAGCCGTATATGTTGACTGATTATCCTTCCTTATTATGGAAGATATAAATTGACAAGTGTGTTTTCTTACCTAAACGAGTAAAAGGTTTATGATGATGACATAAAGTAATGTAAATAAATTAATAAAATAATTTTGATAAAGTAATTTTAATGAAATTGAAAAAATCTCATTTATTAAAATAATTTTAATAAAGATATACAGTAGACAAGACATAAAGTTAAGGCAAATAATGTGATGTGACTCGAGATGACAATAAAATTGACAATTTTGTATTAAAATATATTATGTAGTGGATTTTATGGTATCAATTTAAAAAAAAAACTAAATTAATGTTACAATATATTTTTATTCTGAGAATTTGTCCTAACTTTTTAAAAAAATTTCAAATAACAATTACTTATAAAATCACAGTAAAAAGAATAGCAAATATCTAAGCATATAACATCTAGCTTTCCCCCTTCATTACTTTAACACATGACCAGGAGAAAGAAGTTGGAGAAAATCTCAAAAATATTTAAGTGAGAATAATATTGTTGGGTTAAGTCTAGACTATTGCTTTAATTTCAAAGTTTATATATGATAGGAGAATGATTATATAAGACAAGTTGAAAAGCTGAAAGGCAAAGTGAAGATGATGCTAACCAATATTGTAGAAGGGCTATTGGATCAACTTGAATTGATAGACAGACAACTTGCAGAGGCTTGTTGTGGCATATCATTTTGATGATTAGATTAACAACATATTAGGGAGCATCTACAAGAACACAACTGCTTTGGAATTTAGGCTCCTCAGGGAACATGGACATCATTTTCTTCAGGTATGAAATGATTTGTTTAATTATATATGATTCATGTGTATAAGAGTGTTCGTAATAAGTGGTTTTGCTCGAGTGTAGATGTTTCAATTTTGGAAGAGAACATAAAAAAAATAACAGGCCATCTAATAGCAATTCAAACAAGTCTCTTTGTCACAAATCGAATAAACCAGAAGGAATTAGAATTCCTGGAAAGCAACCCAGATATATTATATTGGTCATCCTTGATCTTTCGACCTCAAGATGATTTAGGAACTTCATCAGTATGAAAGCTACCAAAATTTAAGAGCCATATCATCAATAAAATTCTTCTTGCTTTTCAAAAAATTAGTTTTCTTTCACGTGCTATGCACATATTTATTAACTAAATTATAATTTTAATACTTTTATAGTAATAAAATTGAAATAACTATTATCATATTAAATTGAATTAAAAATATAAATTTAAGTTTTAAAAATTAAATATAACAAACATTTTAAATTAAAATTTCAATAAAGAATAAATATTTAATCTCTCTCTATTTTGAACTTTTTTTAGATTTTTTTTTTAATTTTTTGGTTTTAGGTCATCATCTTCATTAATTATATATATATGTATATTTTAAATTTTTTAGATGATTGTCTTTTATCACAATCAAATCGAATTTTGTACTTCCCGTCTTCTCTATTTTATGATTTTTCTCAAGTTTTTTCCTTTAACTTTTTTTATAGTAAATTTTTATTTTCAATTTTATAAATTTTTGAAGCAATTGATCATCATTGAACTCATTTAGACTCTTATTTATTATCTATTTGTTATTGAAAGTTTAAATTCTTTATTTTGATTTGAAACCAAAATGTTATAAAATTTTTATTGCTTGAAATAAAGTAAATATATAATGTTTTCTTTTTCGCCGCTTACTTCAGTTTTTGACATGTACTTATTTATGTAATATAAATTATTTTGTAGTTTCATTTTATAGTAAAAAATGCATATTTACATGAATTTTACTAATTAAAAAATATTATTTTATAAACATATTCTAGAAAAAAGGATATGAAGCAATCAAAAACTATTAATATCTCGATGTAATTATCAATGGTGTTTATTTATATATTTACAAGGAATATTGACTAAAACTACTTTTAATATCAAATATTAATTTCTTAAAAAGCCACTAAATATGCATAACTTATTGAAATATGTTATAATAAGAGTTTAAATAAAACACCAGACTTAAAGATATATCTTATCTAATCAAATAAATTTTTTATGTTGTTCTTTAAATATTGAAATACTTTTCTCAATTAACTTTGGTTCAATATTATTATTGTTTGTTAAATAATGAAATATAAAAATTCTAAAATTAATAAGATATGGCCTATTTTAGATAAATATCAAAAGATATTACTTTATTTTGAAAGTAAATGTTTTGAATCTTAGACTTTAAAATCGATAATGAATATATTTTTAATGTTTGAACTCTTTTTAAATTAAAATAGAGTAATTTCTTTATTTGGCAAACACTTAATTATATATCTAGTATAAGTCATACAAAAAATTTATCATTTAACCAATATTGTTATAAAAATTATAATTTATAGAATTTATATTATTATTAGTATTATTAAATCATATACTTTGATTTAAAATATTATGTACTTAAGAAAATAACTTATAGGTAATTTTTTTATGGTGTTTTCTAATAAGTTTAGACTTATTATTTCCCTTTTTCATTTTAAAAATATATTTAAAGACAATAATTTTTTGTATAAATGCTATCAATGTTTTGAAGGAATATAGCACAACAATTTATTTTTAGTAAAGATATAGCATTAATCTAGTTATTATTAGTTTATTATCAAGTAGACAATAATGACATACAAATTTAGATAAAGTCATTCTAAATTTTTACTTCAAAAATTAATTTTTTTTAAATAAATTTATGTTGTTATAGTAATCAGTACATGAATATTATTTTAATTATATATGTGTACAATATCCACAAATATTTGTAATTCAATACCTTCGTATTAAATGACAATAAATATAATTTTTTAAATGAATTAAATATGTTACAAATATTAAAAAATATATAGCTCTATATCAATATTCAACCAAAAAAAAAAAAAAAACTAAGTTAACAATGATTTATTACTATATATTATCGATGACTTATTATTAAGTTATATCATTAATTTACTATTAAAATATGAATAATTTATTATTAAGTTATCCGTACTTTACTACTAAGCTAAAATTAATTTATTATATGTTATTATTAATTTATTATTTTCATTGTTTACAACTAAATTGTAACTTATTTATTATTAAGTTATCAATAAATTACGACTAAGTTAATATTGATTTATTATTATAATTAATTTATTATTAAGTTTTAATTTCACTCTTGCTAGTAATCAGAGTTTAATCCTTAAAAATTTCAAGTATAAAAAAACTTATCACCGACTGATAACTAAGTTATCACTAATTCATTATTATGTTATCAGTGATTTATTATTAAATTTTCAATGATTTACTATTAACCGATTGATAATTAAGTTGTCATTGATTTATTACTATGTTATCAGTGATTTATTATTAAATTTTTAATGATTTACTATTAAGTTATAAATAATTTATTACTAATATAATATTTTGATATTTGAATATTTTATTAGATTGTTTTATTTAATTTATTTAAAATATGAAAATTTTAAAATATAATCTAATTTAAATAAATGTATTATTTAATTAATAAATAAATTAATCAAATTAATTAAATTAAATTTGATAAATTAATTTTAAAAATTAATAAATTTTATTGAATTAACAAAAATAATTTAATTTAATTTAAAATTAATAAAATCGATCAAATAAATATCTCTAAATCTAAACATCAAGTCTTAAATCATGAATCAATTTAGTTGAATAAACACAATCATATATACAAACGATGGGTGGATCAGTACAATTGGGAGTTTTTTAGCCGTATATGTTGACTGATTATCCTTGCTTATTATGGAAGATATAAATTGACATTATTTCACAAGAGTATTTTCTTACCTAAACGAGTAAAAGTTGTCATGGTTGAAAGGTTTATGATGATGACATAAAGTAATGTAAATAAATTAATAAAATAATTTTGATAAAATAATTTTAATGAAATTGAAAAAATCTCATTTATTAAAATAATTTTAATAAAGATATACAATAGACAAGACATAAAGTTAAGGCAAATAATGTGATGTGAGTCGAGATGACAATAAAATTGACAATTTTGTATTAAAATATATTATGTAGTGGATTTTATGGTATCAATTTAAAAAAAACTAAATTAATGTTACAATATATTTTTATTCTGAGAATTTATCCTCACTTTTAAAAAAATTTCAAATAACAATTACTTATAAAATCAAAGTAAAAAGAATAGCAAATATCTAAGCATATAACATCTAGCTTTCTCCCTTTATTACTACACATGACCAGGAGAAAGAAGTTGGAGAATGACCAGGTGAAAGAAGTTGGAGAAAATCTCAAAAATATTTAAGTGAGAGAATAATATTGTTAGGTTAAGTCTAGACTCTAGACTATGGCTTTAATTTCAAAGTTCATGTATGATAGGAGAATGATTATATAAGACAAGTTGAAAAGCTGGAAGGCAAAGTGAAGATGATGCTAACCAATATTGTAGAAGGGCTATTGGATCAACTTGAATTGATAGACAGACAACTTGCAGAGGCTTGGTGTGGCATATCATTTTGATGATTAGATTAACAACATATTAGGGAGCATCTACAAGAACAACAACTGCTTTGGAATTTAGGCTCCTCAGGGAACATGGACATCATTTTCTTCAGGTATGAAATGATTTGTTTAATTATATATGATTCATGTGTAAAAGAGTGTTCGTAATAAGTGGTTTTGCTCGAGTGTAGATGTTTCAATTTTGGAAGAGAACATAAAAAAAATAACAGGCCATCTAATAGCAATTCAAACAAGTCTCTTTGTCACAAATCGAATAAACCAGAAGGAATTAGAATTCCTGGAAAGCAACCCAGATATATTATATTGGTCATCCTTGATCTTTCGACCTCAAGATGATTTAGGAACTTCATCAGTATGAAAGCTACCAAAATTTAAGAGCCATATCATCAATAAAATTCTTCTTGCTTTTCAAAAAATTAGTTTTCTTTCACATGCTATGCACATATTTATTAATTAAATTATAATTTTAATACTTTTATGGTAATAAAATTGAAATAACTATCATCATACTAAATTGAATTAAAAATATAAATTTAAGTTTAAAAAAAATAAATATAACAAACATTTTAAATTAAAACTTCAATAAAGAATAAATATTTAATCTTTCTCTATTTTTAACTTGTTTTAGAATTTTTTGGTTTTAGGCAATCATCTTCATTAATTATATATATATATATGTATATTTTAAATTTTTTAAGATGATTGTCTTTTATCACAATCAAATCGAATTTTGTACTTCTCTTCTTCTCTATTTTATGCTTTTTCTCAAGTTTTTAATTTTTATTTTCAATTTTATAAATTTTTGAAGCAATTGATCATCATTGAACTCATTTAGACTCTTTTTTATTATCTATTTGTTATTGAAAGTTTAAATTCTTTATTTTGATTTGAAACCAAAATGTTATAAAATTTTTATTGCTTGAAATAAAGTAAATATATAATGTTTTCTTTTTCATCACTTACTTCGGTTTTTGACATGTACTTATTTATGTAATATAAATTATTTTGTAGTTTCATTTTATAGTAAAAAAATGCATACTTACATGAATTTTACTAATTAAAAAATATTAATTTATAAACATATTCTAGAAAAAAGGATATGAAACAATCAAAAACTATTAATATCTCGATGCAATTATCAATGATGTTTATTTATGTATTTACAAGGGATATTGACTAAAACTATTTTTAATATCAAATATTAATTTCTTAAAAACCCACTAAATATGCATAACTTATTAAAATATGTTATAATAAGAGTTTAAACAAGACACTTGACTTAAAGGTATATCTTATCTAATCAAATAAATTTTTTATGTTGTTCTTTAAATATTGAAATACTTTTCTCAATTAACTTTGGTTCAATATTATTATTATTTGTTAAATAATGAAATATAAGAATTCTAAAATTAATAAGACATGACCTATTTTAGATAAATATCAAAAGATATTACTTTATTTTGAAAGTAAATGTTTTAAATCTTAGACTTTAAAATCGATAATGAATATATTTTTAATGTT